ACCATACCATACCTAACCTTACCTATTATTTATCGCATTACCCTCCCATAAGAATCAATATCAGCGACTAAGATCAGGAGTAACCGATATAGACACACTCAGGACACCACTAGAGGCAGGAGTTGTATGTTTGAACTCTTGTATATCTCACGGCCTCAACACCAGGGAGTCGACACATGTATGACAACCATTGATCCAGTCTTCTCAACAAGCTGTACCACTCAACAAACATGGGATATATTTATACGTAAACATCTACTCTTATTATACATACATACATACATACATACATACTGGATTGAGATCAGCGTGGCCAGAGAAACTCACATTCTGACAATGTCTTAAAAGTAAAAATATTTATGCGATTTTTATCTGAAAGTCAACAAATGTCTAAGAGTAAATAATGCTACCACTTCCTGCTGCCTCCCTCACACACCTCTGTATCACCTCTCCCGTTTATTGTTACCGTTAAGACTTGTTCCTTTGGTATACACACAACGGTTATGGCAGTGGGTAATGTGGATGTATTAATAACGGGAAGACTGGCTGGGTTACCGCTAAAGTAGGAGTGGTTGAGTGTGAATAGTCGTAAGAACAGGAGTGGTAGAAACAGTAGCAGTATTGATAACAGTAGCAAGAGTAGCAGAAGCAACAACATTAAAACATTAGCACAGGAAACGTAACAGAAACAACGGAAACAGTATTAGTATTATCAACAGTAGCAGGAACACCAGGAACAATAACAAGACACTAGCAACAGTAACAGAACACCAGTAACAGGACACCAGGAACAATAGTAGGAACATAGCAACAGTAGCAGAAACACAGTAAAAATAAACACAGAAACAGTAGCAGCAACACCACCAGCAACAGTAGTAAGAACACCAGGCCCACAAAGCACTACGGGTTCCTCCTTCACCACCGCTACAGGTCGCGTGGGACGTGGCAGTAGCGTGCCTTATTTTACCTTCGTCAGATTACAGACTAATCATCAGGAACCGGAATTTGTCCCAGGAAATTACCCGGAGAGTGTAATCAGTCTCATCTGGGGAGCGGCAGTAATGGCTTCTGAACCCCTCTCCCCTGACCCCCAACCATGGCCCCGACCCCCGACTGTGGCCCCGACTATGGCCCCGACCTCTGTAGATTACTCGTGTAGCAGATTTGTAGGTCGCTGGTCTGTGATGGAGATGTTGTCTACTTAGTAAACCTGTACCTTGGTTCACGTTATGAGTATTATTATTGTTTTATGCATTGTGGTAATTTCTCTATCGTTTTACACACACACACACACACACACACACACACACACACACACACACACACACACACAAAGCGGCATCTGTAAACAGGAGAACAGTATCCTAACCTTTATATTAACTGGAAAATCAAGAACAACAGGTATATACATGTAACACCTGTACCAAAAAGATTAATAGCATCTGTAGTAGCAATAACACCTGTAACGGCATCAATAACACCTGTAACAGCATCAATAACATCTGTAACAGCATCAATAACACCAGTAACAGTATCAATAACATCTGTAACAGCATCAATAACACCTGTAACAGCATAAATAACACCGGTAGTAGCAATAACATCTTTTACAGCATAAATAACACCTGTAACAGCATCAATAACATCTGTAACAGCATCAATAACACCTGTAACAGCATCAATAACATCTGTAACAGCAGCAATAACACCAGTAACAGTATCAATAACACCTGTAACAGCATAAATAACACCTGCAACAGCATCAATAACACCTGCAACAGCATCACTAACATCTGTAACAGCAGCAGTAACACCAGTAACAGAATCAATAACATCTGTAACAGCATCAATAACATCTGTAACAGCATCAATAACACCTGTAACAGCATCAATAACACCTGCAACAGCAACATCAATAGCACCTGTAGTAGTAGCAGCAGCAGTAGCGGTAGGAGGCGTCAGGGGTACAGGTCCTCCATCTTAATTAGCGGAACTGTCGCCCGTGATAATTGTCGCGCGCCACCCACAATTATTTGCGTCGGGTAGTAGTTAAAACTCTCTTTAATTATGGCCAGTGTGGTCCTCACCGTACCTGGCCTGCTCTCTCATTTTACTCTTATAAACATTTACGTTTAAAGCTGAAGTTACAGTATTTAAATTTATATAAGAATTATATTTGCAGTATTGAATTTCAAGTTGGTTCTGTAGTTTATTTGTACAATTCTAAACATATTTTTCCCTCGGCCAACATTTAAATTTTAAATATTTCAATTTCCGACTTTAAAAATAAGTGAAATTATATTTACTAATTTGGTGGACAATGTGTGTGAACCTCAACCACTTTCATGATATCATATTTTATTTCACACTGATTTTTTTATTTTTTTATTTTTTTATATTCGTATTTTACTCTGTTTTATAATGTAAGGTATTCGCGTCTGTTCTGTTTCAAAGGCTTCTTGTAACTCGTAAACAAAATATAATGCACTTTAAATCTCACATGTGTGGTTGAATAAATAGTGTTCGTTTCAGTTATCAGAGGAACCATTCTTGTGGCGTGGTGTGGCGCGGCCTGGTGTGGTGTGGCCTGGTGTGGCCTGGTGTGGTGTGGTGCGGCGCGGCCTGGTGTGGTGTGGCCTGGTGTGGTGTGGCGCGGCCTAGTGTGGTGTGGCCTGGTGTGGTGTGGAGTGGTGTGGTGCTGAGGTGTGGTGCGGAGGGCTAACTTAAGAGACACTAGTGACCTGTACCCTCGTATTGTCCACACTTAAAGGGCTGCTCCCTTACAACTTTCCTTTACAAGTGGTTTGACACACAGGAGCTTGAGTTAAACAGACCATAGTGCAATTTAAGTCGGTAATATATATTATATCAGTAGTTTGTAAATGAGGTCATGAATGGATGTATGATTGTCGGGTGATGGAGGGAGGGAGGGAGGGTGAGGGAGGTAGGGTGAGGGAGGGAGGTTGGTTGAATGTGTGGGTGAGGAATGAGAAGTTGTTATGGCAGACTGCAGGTCCACCCGACCATAAGGCAAAGTGGGGTGGCTGTTGACGCTTGACCTTTTAAGCTTCTTGCACTTCAGTCGTATTGTAACCATTAAAAAGGCTGCCCTATAAATATCGGCAGCTTTCAAGACTGTTAGACGAGGGAGGGAGGGAGAGAGGAAGGGAGGGAAGACGTGTAGGTTACAAATATGTGTTTCTTAAGGCAGACTACAAGACGCCAGACTGGAAGGGCTGTATATACACTTTATAAGCATTGTATACACTACCTGTTTTGTCGGTGGCATTGTAATCATTATGAGGTTACCTTATAAGTTTCGACAGCCTTCAGCTTAAGAGCGGTGGTAAAGCTAACACTGCCGACCTGCTTTGTGGTGTGTTTATAATATACCTTCAGACCTTTAGCTCCTGCGTACATTATTCTGGAGTCGAAAGTATGTCCAAGTCAACCTGTGAAGATAATATATTCAGCTTAAATTATATTAATCTTTACATTACGAGACAAAACACCTTTATACGTACATGTTTATAAAATTCGCGTAAGATAATATAAATGACAAATTTTATGGAGAAGAAATACTTTTGATCTGAGAACCACATTACAGTTTTGTTAGGCTGCATAGAGTGACAGAAGACTTGGTAATGTGGGCTATTGAGGAGAACATGTATTGAGAGCTGATGACACCTACCTTACCTGCACCAGTCCTCATGTCTCACACAGTTTGGATGAGAGTGAAGTTTATGTGGTGGATGAGAGTGAAGTTTATGTAGTGGATGAGAGTGAAGTTTATGTAGTGGATGAGAGTGGAGTTTATGTGGTGGATGAGAGGGAGCTGAAACTTCTCTTGAAGGCTGGAAAGAGTAAAACAAGATAACGTCAAGATGTGGAAATTAAAAACATATTGGAACTGAAGAGGAAAAAATAGTAAGTGGAGAAAGATAGAATAATATGATAAATAAATTGGTAAGTGGAGTGTGAAGGAATAAGATGGAGGAAACGACTTAATTTAATATTGATGAAAGTATAAGTTGTGTGTGTGTGTGTGTGTGTGTGTGTGTGTGTGTGTGTGTGTGTGTGTGTGTGTGTGTGTGTGTGTGTGTGTGTGTGTGTGTGTGTGTGTGTGTGTGTGTGTGTGTGTGTGTGTGTGTGTGTGTGTGTGTGTTGTTAATGAAGATGTTTGGTAAAATTCTTCAGCTCAGTGAGGGAGGAGTGAGGAAGAGAAGGAAGGAGAGGAGAGAAGAAAGAGGAGGAATAAAGAGGATAGGGAAGGGTTAGAATAAGGGTGAATATCATGCTAGGTATTGACGAGCAGTATGAAGGGCGATGCTACTCCTCCCCCCCCCCCCCTCTCTCTCTCTCTCTCCTCATGGTGTGAGTGAAGGTGTGGGAGGGGTGCCAGGTCGTCGTGTGGGCGGGTGTGGTGACACGGAGCGAGCGACCAGAGGCGTTGTCCAGCACGCCCAGCTGTTTTATTGCCGCCCGCGATAAACGTAAGAAAAATCGGGAATAACCACCACCAACATATACTTGAGCTGGGACAAGGATAGAGACTTTGAGAGATGACATAAACAGCATCCAGCCTGAGTTACGGAGACTTAAACATGCGTGTGTAACAGATAAACCTGATATTTATTTCGTTAGAGGCGTGAGGCAATGTGGAATGAGTTTTCTCCGAGGAGTGTGAGAGAATACGTGTTTATTTTTGAGGCTGTACAGTTATAGTGAGTGTGTGTGTGTGTGTGTGTGTATATATTATTCTGAAGCGGTGGTGATGTATTCTGTCGGGCCTTTATACGTTATAGTACAGTGTTTCTTATTAATATGTTGGGGTGTGAGTGAATGTTGGTCTATAATGTGTGTGTGTGTTGTTATAAGCAAATGCGTTTCCGATATGTAGAAAGTTACATATATGTATAATTTCACGATGTATGCACATATTCTCTTGTTATTGGTCATGTTAAGTTAATCTCATTATGTGTTTCCTTGTCTCCTTACAGTGTTACGTGATGACTTCCGGTTGGTGCCAGATGCGACGAGAGTAGCTGAGGGGGAGACGGCCATGCTGGAGTGTTTACCCCCGCGAGGCAACCCTGAACCTGTGGTGTCCTGGGAGAAAGATAGCGTGCCCCTCGACCCTGCCACCCAGCATAGGTCAGTACTCACCCCGTTACTGTCCACCCAGAATAAGCCAGCACCCACCCCGTCACTGTCCACCCAGCACAAGTCAGTACCCACCCAAGCACGCCCTACATTTGTAATTGTCCTCACGTCTTACTTTCAATACCCTTAATTGCACACTCAAAGTCTCTTTCCACGCCCGTCACTATCCAAAGCCACCAATTTATCCACCCACCTTCGCCTCCTCCGTCAATCAGCACCCACAGCTGACAGTACCCTCAGCAATAACTACTTAGATACTCTTTCTCTCTCTTCGGGGTGACATACAAACACACACACATTCTAGGTTGTCACACTCAAGATCGAGTATAAGTTACTCATGTCCCGACCTCCTCCCCTGCTACTGCCTCATCCCTTCACTACACCCACCTGGCTCACCTTACCCCAAAGTTACGATCAATATCTGCAGGTAACCATCATCTTCCCACCATCAAAACACCATGAACTACCTTGCTTTAGGGGCGAGGAACAGCCCACTGGATGCTTCTCGCTTGATGTAGGATCCCCCAAAGGCTCATAACAGTGGCCGTATTTCACAGTTGTTTCGCGTAAATTCAGTGCACTTGATTTACCATCGCTGAGAGTCTCGTAAGGTGCGGTGCTAAGTAGGAATGAGGTGCGTAGAGGAGGCGGTGAGTGGCGTCCGGGTTACGTGTGTACAGTAAGTATCCACAGGTGACGTTTTTGCACACCTGCCAATTAAGGAACGAGTCAGAGGTGGTGTTGGCGATAATGTTAGATGGAGGTATAGATGGTGAGCAACACGGAGATAGTAACTGACCTTGGTAGAGACTGTGGCATTTGTGTGAGGAGTTTATAGAATCATCAGGATATGCAAATGTGGCGTAGCGTGCTGGCGGGGGGTCCTTGTCCTACACGCTCCTGCTGGGACCTGATTAAGCCTCCAATGTGGACGTGCGAGGGGCTGGAGGGTCCTGCACCATCACCTTCCACGGGGCACCAGTAAACAAGGATCCCTGGCTGGTATTGGGCATTAATGGTGGTCTTAGCGGCCTGATTTACGTGACGTTAGTGGGTCTTTAGGGCACATTATTAAAATTTAAAGAGCTGACCCCTGAATATTTCCTCTACACCACATCCACCCGGTGCACCATTTGGCTGTAGGTTTCATCAATAGTTAAAAACAAGTTAGGGTAAATAATGACCTTGATTCTACAGCATAAGAATTCCTACTTTTTTTTTCTTGTAGTCTTTTACCACCAATGTTAGCTGTTATTAGTAGCCGCCCTTGAAATATTATCATAATGTGAGCCTTTACTCTCGACCAGCTGGGCTTACACAGTGAAGGTGAGAGCCGCAGCTTACAACATTAGTTAAGATGTAGTTATTTTTAGTCTTTGTGTTTATGATGTAATTATCTGTATGTAGTTACTGTTAGTTATATGTTTTTAAGTGTTGTTTTAATTCGTTAATATTGGTACAAGGATATAAATAACTAAGACGAATGTTTACAAGATGCCTTTAGTGATGTTTAATTCCCAGGTAGAGGTAGATAGGTAGATGGTGTGGAGGTAGAATCAACAGGTATGGTGTGGAGGTAGAGTCAACAGGTATGGTGTGGAGATAGAGTTAACAGTTATGGTGTGGAGGTAGAGTTAACAGTTATGGTGTGGAGGTAGAGTCAACAGGTATGGTGTGGAGGTAGAGTTAACAGTTATGGTGTGGAGGTAGAGTCAACAGGTATGGTGTGGAGATAGAGTTAACAGTTATGGTGTGGAGGTAGAGTTAACAGTTATGGTGTGGAGGTAGAGTCAACAGGTATGGTGTGGAGATAGAGTTAAAAGTTATGGTGTGGAGGTAGAGTCAACAGGTATGGTGTGGAGGTAGAGTTAACAGTTATGGTGTGGAGGTAGAGTCAACAGGTATGGTGTGGAGATAGAGTTAACAGTTATGGTGTGGAGGTAGAGTTAACAGTTATGGTGTGGAGGTAGAGTCAACAGGTATGGTGTGGAGATAGAGTTAAAAGTTATGGTGTGGAGGTAGAGTCAACAGGTATGGTGTGGAGGTAGAGTTAACAGTTATGGTGTGGAGGTAGAGTCAACAGGTATGGTGTGGGTAGAGTCAACAGTCATGGTGTGGAGGTAGAGTCAACAGTTATGGTGTGGAGGTAGAGTCAATAAATATGATAATGTGTGAGTAAATGGTAGTAGTGATGATCAATATGTAGATATGATTACTCACTGTAGTTGTGGTTGTTGTTGCAGGTATCGCGTGGTGGACGGAGGCAGCCTGGTCATCAGCGGAGTGCGGGTGTCAGACTCAGGCGAGTACGTTTGCCGCGCAGTGTTTGTGAAGAGACGCCTCCCGCCACGCTTACCGTCCAGGGTAGGTATCCCATCCGCCCATCTCCTCCACCAGTACTGTTCCGGGAGGCTGGGGTAGACAGGGGTGGTAAAGAGTTGTCTTACTATAATATGACTTTGTTATTACTTAAGGAGTTACTTGATTGTCATTATATATATATTTTTGGGGAGGTCCAGAGGTGTAGTAAAATTTCTTCCTCTCTAATTACTTGTGGTTAGTGAAAAGGTAAAGGATATAAGGAGAGCACAGTAATATTGATAAACTTTCATGTGTGTGTTAACTTCCTCCGTGTATAGATCATTATGAAGAAATGAAAAACACACACACACACACACACACACACACACACACACACACACAGTGATATAACATGGACATTCCGGGTTCAGTAGTTCTCTCTTTATTAAAACAAGAATATAAAACAAAAAAATTCTGGATATATAAAAAAATATTAAGGTCTATATGATATATTTTCCCTATATACCTGTAAGTGTCCCCTATGATAAAAAGACAGCAGTGTGTACAGTAGAGACCAACAGCGAGGTAATAAACGCCTCAGTGTGTACAGAGTTTGTTGTGTTATTAAGAAGTGTTACCAGAAGGTCCTGTCAACAGTGTCGCCACACTTGGTCTCGTCGTCCGGGACGGTGACGGGGGCATGGGTCCACGGTGGAGCTGGTGTGTCGTGTTGGGGGAGACCCGCCCCCGGAGGTATTCTGGCGGCGTGTAGAACCCCCGGGGGAGTTGCCCCTGGGAAGGATGGCCCTGGAGGAGAACAGCCAGGTGTTGAGGATTCATCACGTGGCGCCCGAGGACCAGGGCGTGTATTCCTGCCAAGCTGAAAACCCTGTAGGCTCCGTCGCCGCTAACATCACCCTCAATGTCCACTGTAAGTCTGACCTGTTACTGTGTGTGTGTGTGTGTGTGTGTGTGTGTGTGTGTGTGTGTGTGTGAAAATATTTCGACCTCGCTTTTGTTTATAACACCTACAGTATATCTACTTAATGTCTAGTATTATTGCCACGTTGTAGGCCTGTATTAGTTATATGGAGACTAAAATATTCTATCTATCAGCTCGCCCTCTCATCACTGTGACGCCGCTGGACGCCCGAGTCGGCATAAACGGGACGGCATCGTTCGAGTGCGCCACATCTGGGTCGCCTCCACCCACTACTTACTGGACTCACGAGGGGTCTGGCAACGTGGTGGGGACCGGGCAGACGTGGGGCGGCGGTCGATGGTCCGTCGACGCCCACAACACCCTCACCATCCGCGGGGTGAAGCGGGATGACCAGGGCTACTATGTGTGCTCGGCCGTGGGCGTCGCCGGGTCGGCCCTCGCCCGCGCCCATTTGGAGGTTCAGGACCTGGCCGACATGCCCCCCTCAATGTGCCTTGGGTGCCTCCAACCAGACGCTGCCTTTGGGTACGGAAGGCGAGATGCCCTGTGAAGCCCGGGGTACGCCGGAGCCCACAGTGGTATGGGAGCGGGCAGGTAAACCTATTACACCTGATGATCGAATCTCTATCACTCCTCGAACACTGAGAATTAAAGGTAAGTTGTCTTACGCTTCCTCCTCATAAAACCTGCAGTATGATAACATTAATGCCCATGATAAACAGTAGTATACATACCCATGATAAACAGTAGTATACATACCCATGATAAACAGTAGTATACATACCCATGATAAATAGTATTATACATACCCATGATAAACAGTATTATACATACCCATGATAAACAGTATTATACATACCCATGATAAACAGTAGTATACATACCCATGATAACAGTAGTATACATACCCATGATAACAGTATTATTTATATCCATGATAAACAGTAGTATACATACCCATGGTAACAGTAGTATACATACCCATGATAAACTGTATAATAAGTATATTCCCGCGTCTCACAGAATTAAAGACGTCGGACACTGATGTGTACACGTGCAGCGCCAAGTCAGAAGCGGGAGAGACCACGTGGACGGCCTCTCTAATAGTCGCTAAGCCCACCAACCCCAACGTGGCTTTCTTTAAAATTCCGGATGAGGGGACGCTACCTGAAGCCCCGGGACAAGTGATAGTGTTAGGCGTGAACACGACGGTAGTGTCGTTGGGTTGGCGACGCGGCCGGCCAGGGTTGTCGTCTCTGCTGGGCTACACCGTCCAAATGTGGAGCCCTGACCAGCGGGGCGCCTGGACCACTGCCTCCACCCAGCAGACGGCCACCTCCAGCCACACCCCCACGCCCGTCTCCCTCACCGTTACCGACCTTCGCCCGGAGACACGCTACATGTTTGTGGTCCGTGCCCGTAACTCCCACGGTGTGTCGCGCCCGTCCCCCGTCACCCACACCGTGAAGACGCTGGCCCAGGGGGCTGGGGGCGCGCCGCCTCTTCATGAAATTAGGGCGCGTCTTTCCCAGCCCGCCGTCCGCCTCGTCAGTGTAGAACCAGCCTCTGCAGCGTCACTTCAGTTGTCGTGGCAACTGTTAGTAGACTCGGCATTGCTAGAGGGTGTCTATGTGCGCTACCGGCCGCTGGAGACTGAACATGGCAGCCCTGCTGGTGGTCTCAGCGTCGAAACTGTCCCCTTCCACGGCAACGGTCCCCCGCCGACCTCCCACGTGGTGAGCAATCTGCGGCCCGCTACCTGGTACGAGCTGTTCGTGGTGCCCTTCTACCGCTCAGTGGAGGGTCAGGCCACCGCTGCCGTTCGGGCCACCACTCTGGAGTCGGCCCCGGCTGTGCCCCCGCTGGGCCTTCATTACTCCTACATCAACGCTACCGCCGTCCGCATCACCTGGGACCCCATCCCTGCCCACTCTTCCAACGGCCGCATCACCGGCTACAACCTACAGGTATGTAACATAAGACCCACTGCTGGACTCTGATGTAAGGTAGAAGACCCGAACAATTGGATCATTCATTTTATCAGTACTAGTGTGTTGTTATGAAGATTAGTATCATTATATTTGGTAATTATTAAGACGAACATCAAGTTCTAATTCTATTATGGCGGCCAAGGTATCATGAAGTTCATTTAAAACAGGTAAGTCGAACACTGGAAACTCATCTTAACCCAACCCAACTTACCCACCCTAACCTAATCCAACCCTATCCTAACCCAGTCTACCAAACCCACTTAACTAAGATCATAAGGTTTGGATGGTTCATGTTCCCTGTTCTATAAGATGGTTTATGTGAGTTTCACCAAACTTTAACATTTGAAAACTTGAGTGTCAGATCGTTACATGATAGATATCAAGAAGAACGACATTTGGTCACGAAGGTAGAAGATGAAGTGTTGCGTAAAGGATCGACCATGATGTTGCTTTTCATTATTCCATTAATATTCCCTCTCCCATGTTCGTGGATCCTGCAGTAACATCATTTTTTCTCTCACTCGTGTAGGTATCGGATGCTGTGAACCAGAGCCACGTGGTGCTGAACACCACGGTGAACAGCACATGGACGCTGGTGCCAGGGCTGGTGTTGGGCGCCACGTACCGCGTCACACTGCGGGGCGTCACGGCCAGGGGTCCCGGGCCCATCTCCACCCCCTTGAACCTTACCATTCCCCCGGGTGCCACCTCCTACCCACCAGACATTAAGGAGTCCTCGCCTTTCGACAACAATACCTACCTCATCGTGGGCATCTCTGTGGCCGCCGCCGTGCTCTTCGCTGCTCTGGCCGCCACCGTCTATTGTATCTACAGGCGCCGCCAGAACAACAAGTGTCCACAGTACTACAGTAAAGGTGAGACGCTTGTGCCATCCTATGTCTACTAGGTGTTACTTTCAGTGATATTATTTTCAGCATTCAACTGACCGTTTTAAGTTACATACTATCAGCCGAGTCAAGTAGTTATGGAACCCTTCTGTGACGTAACGTTTAGCCTTTGTGCCTCCATCAGGTGAAGGCAGCGGGCCCTGGTCGGAGTACCCTGGGTGCTGGGGTGAGACAGGTGTTGGTGTTGGCGTGACTGGCACGATGTACACAGATGTAGGGAGTCATGGTGTGCCCATCACACAGCTATACCACAGACCAACGGCTCCAGCCTCCAGCAAAAGTGGTTACGAGGGGCGCCAACCAGAGGATGTGTACGAGGACCCGGACGGCCTCAGGCTCGTGTCCTTCGGTGGTCACGTCGACCCAAGGTAATTAGAGTTACTTGCTGTGTGTCTGGGAATTCTGGATAGATGCAACATTCTGTCCTGACATTCAGAATATGTGTAAAAGTTCAGTCATAATACTTATAGTAAGCACAATTCAACACTACTTTTGATCTATACTTGACTTAATCAGATGCCGGTATTCTTGTAATCAGAAAGCCTTTTTCTCTCCTGGCCCAGATGTATGTCGCCGGAGCCTTACGCCACCACGCCACTTATCAGGGACATTTTTCGCGGGCCCGGAGGTAATCGCCTGCCTCCTAACATCCCAGTCAGCCCCGGCCAGTCCCCTCTGCCCAACAAGCCTTCCTCTGACGACTCGTGCACTAAGACAGCCTCCAGCGACCACAGCGGCAGCCACGCCAGTCACCGCTCTCACAACTTCAACACCCAACCAGAGAAAGGTAATTAGTACATGCTGATTAAGGATCTGGGTACACAATTAAAATATTCGAGTAATTCATGTTAATTAATGACCTTTGAAATAGTTAAAGATATTTAAGGAGGTTACAGTAGATGAGGTAAAGTTATGGGAGGTGAGGTTAGGGAGGTTAAGTTAGGTAAGGTTCAAAAAGTTTAGCTGAGTTTGGCTGTTGATATGGCCCAAGTGCATAATACCGTTTAGCCATGATAGACAAGGCCTGAGATATTGATGTTAAGTATGATGATTACAACTATCATTCTCATCATGCTAGCAATAATAATATACAATGCAGAAAGGTATCTTTATGTTTATTCTCATTATTATTACTTGATAATATTGATACTTATCATAGTGAATGTCTTATTAATAAAATAATTATGAATACTAATGGTGGTGTATCCTGGTTGTGGCAGGTTCTCTGACGGGTCCTGTGTTGCAGTTCCCTCCTCCTCCTCCGCCGCCCATCATGGGTGGTGATCAGTCCAGCGATAATACTCTCGCTTCCACCGGCAGCCGTGGTCAGTCTCCCTCCACCAGGCTACTGCTTCAGCAGCTTCCTTATGGTGGTTCTTCTTCTGGGGGCTCACATAGGTCGCACGGCAGCCCCTTGTTGGGCCCACGCCCCCCACGATCCAATCTGCGTGCCCCACCCTCCCCCTTGGCCGGCCACGGAATGACAGGCACTGGGGACTACGAGGTGCGGCTGATGAATATGCGTGGGCCCCACCCAAGGTTGGAGGGTGACGAACAGCGCTACCGGACCGAACTGGGTACTGAAGACGGTCCCATGGGACTCAACATCCCCGAGGAGGCGAGCGACGTTGAGTGGTACTCTCAGCCTCTACTCAACGGCCGCACCTCGCCCGAATCCTCGACGCTAGGTGACGCTGAATCTGAGGACGAGTCCCGCTGCTCCTCGGGCGGATCCTGCTGTTCGGCCGACCACCCTCTCTCTCACGCTCAGGATCTTAATTGGGCAGAGGCACTGAGGGCAGCTGGAGAAGCCAGGTGGGGGCGCGGAGGTTCTTTCTGCAGCACTGATGACAGCACCTACGCGCCCACGCAGTCCCTGCATGCACGCCCTCCCAGGCCTCCTTGCCCTAAGAAGCACAAGCCACGCCTACAGTACAATCACCACGCCAACCTTGACCCCCAAACCTCTGTGACCTCACCCCTCGTGTAGGCAGATGGGGTCATAGATGTCAGGCGTTTCGAGTTGTGAATAATTGTTGTTGACGCAAGATAAAGACACATGACCTGTACATAAGATGTATTTTATTACAGTGAACGCTAGTCCAAAATACATCGCTGTGCTTTGTGCTTGAAATACGATATTTTGTTGTCGCTGTGGCAACACTCACATATAACTTAGTGGCCTTCTGTTCTGTGCTCGTCCTCTCACCAATGGACATTTCTTTGTGAAGACTCTCAAGAGGGAAAGACTATTGCGGCAGCCCCAGTGAGGTCTTTAATTCAGAGCTTTATCTCCCAGAAAAACAAACAAACTTTTTGTGTGTAAAATTATAAAGCAATGTTATACGTGTAAACACTATGGATAAATACGTGTATAAACAGTGTAGTTGGCGGAGACTGAAGTGGTAGACCACAGTACAGCAGCCTGGCCACCACTGTCTCCATGTTTGAAAACATAATTTCCTTACTGAAAAACAAAAAATATGCCCCTCGCCTTTCATCCTGATTTCTGAGCGTTTTGGAAATTTTTTATATTGAAGTGGAAGCAGTTACAGTGTGTAGTCAGTGGCTGTAAAGTTAGTACACTTCCACTTCGGTTTTCAGGTGCTTCATGTCGCTTGTCTTTGGTGAAGCCGTCGATGTTCATTTGTCCGTGACGGAGTGTGTATGGGTAGGGGGGGGGGGAGTTTGATATCTCTTAGGCGAGACAAAACAATGGCTGTCGTTCCCCTGTGCTTACTCCCTCCCGTTTTTTGTACATCACCAAGATAATAACCATGTGCTCTCGATGTTTTGTATCCTAGTGTGTTCGAGTTGATGGGTCGTGGCGGGGAAATGTTCCAACCATCTCTGAAAAGAACCATCCAGCGGTCGGTTGTTGAGGCTGAACTGGAGAGGTTGTGGGAGTTGCAGTCTGCTGTGTGACAAGGAAATATTCCTCTCTAATGCAGAGAATTTGGGAGCCTACCTCTCAGTTACTAGTCGAGTAGGTTAATTAGAGTTCATTCGTGACTGTCGTAGCTTCATTTTAGTATATAAACAGGGCATCATAGGAAGAACCATAACTTATAAAGTCATATTAAGTAATCTCCCAGATATTCTTGTACCGTATCCGGCATGGTGAGAGTCAGCTGGATAGAAAAAGGTTACATTGATGTTCGTACAATATTTTACGAGCATCTGTTGCCGGAGGAATAACAATCTAGTGTTGCTGATGGGAATATAAGGAACTGTCTCACACAGATCTGCCTCTTCAACACCTCCAGCCGTCAACAGACTCGGGTGTTATTCTTACAGTTGGAACTATATCCCCTCTGCGTCTCCTACTGAGCCACCCACAGCAGAGTAGTGTTGAGCTACACCTGCCAGGGTTCATCATCAACATGTTTGGGTTCGTGACCAGAGGGACGTGGGCGTCAGTGTGCCTCCCCTCCCATGGTCTCCTCCGTGACCTCAACACAAGCTGTTGGTACATACTTGTGGGTGCTATATCACGGCTCACGCATGCGTCTTACGCTCATGGAACAAGTGTGACGCCCACTTCTCTTAGCAGGTCCAGCAGGGACATGGTCACTGTCGCTGAAATACCAGCAGTCATATTTAGGCAATCTCGACCAGTCATTAAAGTTAAAATTTCTTGGTAATAACTTTCAGGACTTGGCATGTATAGTGTACCAGGATACATGAGTGGTATTTTGGTGGCTCCTTACTGCAGTAGACAAGAGAGCCTGGCATGTCCCTGCCTCCATGTAGGTCGTCACAATATGTACATTTATCATCTGATATTCAGACCCTTCAGCTGTGATACAGGATTAGTCAGTCTGTTGTCTTAACGTAGGCGTGAGTCTACCCCCAGCAGGAGCGGCCGACACATCTGGACTGACTAGTTACAGTCAGTGGTACTCGTTTTGGCGAAACTGTGGCTGAACTTGCGGCCATACCTGGCGGGTGACGGTACTCGAGGACCTTTGGTGTTACGTACATATCTATGGTTCATCCGCACACTAACTTGAGAATACTCGCTTGTGTAATAGTTTGTTCAATCGCACAGTTACCATAATTACCGCCCCTGTGAGTATTAGCACACAGGAGGTGAGTAAGCGTCCACTGGTCCAAAGCTACTTTATGACCGCACATACCTACTCCGCCAGAGGCCGCAGGTTGCCGCTGTTCCCGGCTGCCTTGTCTAGCAGGAGGCTGGACGTGGTCACCAAGTTCTACCTGCTCGGTGCTGCTTATACCCGCCCTTACTGCCGCTGTTGCCTCAAAATTGTGTCGGCTTTCTTCATGTATTAAATGTCAATTGCTGTTTTCAATCGTTTATGTATATTTATTATTGTATGACTTTTTTGGATTAATGTATAAATTTGTTTGCACTGTGGATGGTACGGAGAGCATAATAATGCATATAATGCCATGTCATACCCCATCTATTTTTGCAGGTCCAGTGATCCTCCAACACTAGAGAATTGTATAGAGCAAATTTATTGTCATACAGTGTAGGAGTCAGCGAGAGGCGCCTTGGTGCGCAGGTCAGCTGGGCAGGACGAGTCGTGTGTACAAAGGTATTTTTAGTCAGTTTGTATAGGAATATTCGAGAGTTTTATAAATAAAACAAGTTAAATGGCACAAATATGTCTTTTAATTTTAGCCTTCTATTGAAATGTCCCCCTAACCTAGCAGCTTAGACATAGTCTATTGCCAAACCTAAGATACAAATCTAAGGTTTCTTTTCAATGGGTTACTAATTAAATTGAATAAATATCATACCACTTATTATTTATATGACGCTTCTGGGGAGATTGTCATATGTAGCTCTGCTTATCATAAGAGTAAGGAAAGAAATAATGTCAAGAAAAACAAGGCATTCTATGTTCATCTGACAGAGTCTTACTATCTATATTTCAACAAAATATTTGTATATTTAAATTATCTTTTCCGTGTTACAGGTAAAACCCGGAAGATTTGAACTCTGGAACGTTACGATGGTGCCATCACTGATTTATATTGTACAACTCTATATTAAATACACGTCTGCTGTTGATTGTCAGGGAGCACTCGGGAGGGAACTTCAACACCATTCTCTCCTGTCTTAAAATATTTTATGAAGGAGGCAACGTGTCTATCTTAGCACAAGACAAACGCTGCCACAACTGAAGTTCCAAAGTTCAAATCTTTAGCGCTTCATCTGTAACACTGAAAAATAAATATTAAAGTAAACAGATTATTTTTTAGAAACTTATACAATAAAAATGTGGATAATATTAATGGAACAACCACGATCAAAATAGGTTTAAAAGAGAAAATTATATAACCAATAATATAAATGGTAAGAACAATAACTATAGTATGTAACCACCAAATAGAATTACCATAATTATGAATTGTGTAAAAAATGATTACTGATGAAATACAAAAAAAATGAAATGCGATAAAGCCTTGAAACAGCAACAGTGATATAATCAACAGTGTACAGACAAACACAAACAGGAAGTTGCCACCAATAAAATACTCAAGTCACTGTTATACAAAAAAACTTATGCAATATTTAAAATAAAAACTTATGAAATGCACAACCCCTCAAAACATAATTTCCCGGAAAATGCGCCCAAAACGCAGTCTTTTGAAGGACACGAATTGTTGACAGAAAAATCACATCTCTGAAAAATCGTTTTGAGGAAATGAAGTCGAAAAACAACCATTTCAGGAATTTGAACTTCAAGAAAACAATGATTAAAAAAAAATAACCTTGGTTTCATTTTCCCGTAAAAATATTTTGATAATTGTCTTCACATCAATTACCATAATTAATAATCAAAACTTCATAATATATGGTACTATTTTGAGCAAAATTCCAGTATAGGTCGTCCTCAACACGTTGATTAAGGATCTGTGGTCGAAATGTTGAAATTTTAATAATTAGTTCTGATTATTAAGTATCCTCACATCAAATAGCCCTGGTGTTATTTTCCCGACAAGTGTGGGTGTTTTCTATAGTCAAAATTTTCCACTTTCTATGGTAAAAATTTTCCATTTTATATGATCAAAACTTCGCGGACCACGTGAAGTTTAGACAACCCCGGACCAAATGAAGTTTACACACACCCGGACAAGATGTCGTTTTACACACCCCCAAACCACAAGAACTTGGAGGGGCGGCGGCGACACCAGGGACCCTCCCAGTGTCGGCGGCCCTCCCAAAGGACAGCGGCACCCCAGGGTCCCATCCAGGAGCAACGGCACCCCCAGGGGCCTTCCCAGGAGCGCTCCCTCCCAGAAGCCCTATACCTTGTTTGGTCGAGGTGTCGTACATATTACATACGTCCAGCAATCCCCTACTTAACTGTGATTGGTGGACTAATATATAAGTCCACCAAATAACAGCCAATAGGAGAACAGAACAGTCAGTCAGCACAACACCCCAACTTATGTTTTCCTGTTGGATATTTGTTCTCCTTTACATTGTTCATGAGGCGATGATAACTGGAAATGTGATGGGTGGCGTATTTATTTAACGTCATATCTCCCGTTGTTCTAAATAGTGCACAAAAATAACAGCCCCCAATAGTCCTACAGGGACAGTGCCTACTGGGGCCCTCCCATTTGCCCTATCAGGTGCAGTGTCCGCATGGGCCCTCCTAGCCGTGTCGGTGCCCCCTGGAGCCCTCCCAGGAGCGGGAAACATCCCAGGTGCCTTCCAAAGATGGCGGCGCCCCCAGTGGCGCACCTCGGACAGT